TATTTTTATTTGTGTGTATTTATTTGTGTGTCCTGGGTCCCCTTCATAAACGTGGCTCCCGAACCTGGGTGCAGAGGGGAACAGAGGGGTGGCCCCCGTCGGGGCTGGCCCCCCCCTGCCTGCATCGTGGAAAGAGTCAGGGTTGAGGAGTCGTGCCGTCTCCAGCCTCCGGAGGGGGCGTCTCCAGGCTCCAGAAAGGCTCGGGGTGAACAACTAATCAGCCCTAGGGAAGAGGTCGAGAGCCCCGGGGGCCACGTCACGAACGGCAACGCGGCATCGGAGAAAAGCGTCCCTCGCCCCCTTGCTTGGCTTCCCCCTCCCGTCCCCTGAAGGAAGGCTCGTGCTGCGTCGACGCGGCTGCGACACGAGCGCGCGGGCGCTCAGAGATGAACGCTGCCAGTTGCGTGGTTTCAGCCAATGTCGAACGAGCTGCGCCGTCGGAATGCCGCGATCGCTCAAGCTCTGACGGTCAACGCTGTTTCAGAAGTCAGCGCTGGCGTCATCGCGACGTGAATCGAAGAAAAATAACGCAATAACTTTTTGCGGTCCGCATGGATTTCCTAGATCGGCGCTGGGCCCCCCTGGCGCGCTCCGCGCGCCAGGGAGGGGGATCCAGCGCAGATCCAAGAAATCCGCGCGGAGCGCCGAAAGTTTCTGTTGATACCGTTGTTTCTTCTTCTAGTGAACCTGCCGTACCTCCCTGAATCGAGTCTCCCGCTCGCTTCGGGCTCCAGGTGCTGGTACAGGGCTACAACGGGCACATCCTCCTGCAGGACAGGCTGGCTCTCGCAGCCCGGCGCCCCGCCTCCGAGGAGGAGGGGGAGGAGAGAGACAGAGAAGAAGGAGGGGGCATGAGCTGGTCTCGCCAGCACTGGTCTCGCCTGCGCTGGTTTCGCCCGTCTGGTTTCGCCAGCAGCTGGCTTCGCCGAGGCTGGTTTCGCCGACGGCGGGTTGTTCCGGGGCGGGCCGGGCGGGCGGAATCCTACCGGACGGGTGGGGCGGGCGGGACCAAAACGGGCGGTTTCGGGCGGGCGGGACGTTCGAGCGGGCGGGTTTGCCAGCACGCAATCGGGCGGGACCTTATCTGGAAGGTCGGGCGGGCGGGGCCCTTACGGGCGGGTGGGGCGGGCGGGCGGGACACGCAAGCGTGCGGGTTTGCCAGCACGCGAACGGGCGGGGTCCTCGCTAACGGGGGTGTCGGGCGTGCGGGACCCTGATGTGCGGGTTGACGAAACCAGCCGGGCGAAACCAGCGGGCGGGTTCGACCAACGTCGGCGAAACCAGCCGTCGGCGAAAAGCCGTCGGGGAAACCAGCCTGGCAAAACCAGCCGTCGGCGAAACCAGCCGTTCCAGGAGGAGGAAGAGAAAGGATGAGCAGGGAGGATGTGGCGGACAGCAGGATGGGGAAGAGAAGGCGGCGAGAATGATGACGCTAAACGTGGCGCGCTAGCCTGGCGAATTCTTCGCGCTTCGCGTATCCCCACCAACCCGCTTTAAGTGTGGCTGCGCCCCGTCGCTTTAGGTTAATTCGTCGTTGCGTGCCCCGCTTCTACTGGACCCGCCGCTGGCGCGCTCGCCTGCGGCCGCTGACTACAAAGTATCCCCACCAGCCTGGTCGCGTGCCCCGTTTCGCCACTCTAGCGCAGTTTCCGCTTCGTGGCCCCGTCCGTTTTCCGCGTTTCGCCGGCGACAGTTGCGCTGTGTTCTTGCACCGGCTTGCGCTCGTCGCGCGACTTCACGACGCCGCGCGGCTGTCCGCTTGCGGTTGCGATCAAAAAAACATCCCCACCAGCCCATCAAGACACGATGTCCAACGGAGCTCCCCTGAATGGGGGAGCGTGGCACTATGTGGAGATCTCGGGGAGCCTTTGAAGACCAGAGGCCCCGTGGATGCCTCTTTGGGTCTCGTGGGGTATCTCTCGGGGGCTTCTGAGAGGCATCTTGGGGCGTCTTGGGGGTTTCTTGCCGACTCTTGGGGGTCAGCTTGGAGCGTTGCGGGTTTGGGGGCCGCTCTTGGGAGCATTTTTGGGCCTTCTTGGGGCTCTCTTGAGTGTCTTTCGGGCCGTCGTGAGTCCATATTGAAGGCTATCGATCAAAGAAGAGGGGGTCCTTCACTAGCGTTGCTCCACCGCCCCCAAGGCAGCCCACATTGGCCCAAAACCTCAAGGATATCAATGAGTTTTGCCTTCTCGCTGAAGTCGTCTTCGACGCTCTAACCACACGCGACCCCCACCTGTCCAGACCCAGGGGGAAGTGGCACGGTGAGGTGCCAAGACACCTCGCCCAGACGCAAACTGTTTGGCTCGCTGCCCTCGCCCTCGCGACGCACAAGCGGTACCCGAGTTTCAGCATTTTCAAGCTGTCGTCTCTGGATGGCCTGCTGTTGGGAGCCAATCTGCTTGGTCGTCGATTGGCCTGCGGCTGCGATGAGTCAGAGGGGGCCGCCGTTGGTCGCATTCCTTTGATGTCTGGTTGCCTCTGGCGCCTGGAGGCGAAGGGAAAAAAATTGTAGCTGATACGCTGGCCCTGCGTTTGCTGTTCCCCCACCCCCTTCGCCCGCCCCGAAACACGCTGAGGACTCGCAAGTCGAAGTTGATCATACGCTGCTTCATTCATTTATCGAAGACGCCTACGGCGAAGTACCCCCGCCCCCTGCCTTTTGGAACAGCCCATGGGGTCAAGCGTTGTGGCAGTAGCTCTGCCAAGCTATAGGACAGGAGCACTTGGGGGAGGATGGCGGGGAAGATCAGGAGGAGGAGGAGAAGAGGAGATGGAGGAGAAGGGAACATCTTGGGAGCCTTTGGGGGAACTCTTGGGGCCTCCTCGGAGCTTCCTGGTACCCTATTGGAGGCATCTTGTGGGCCTCCTTGGGCTTCTTGGGGGCCTTTGGGGGGCTTTTCGGGTGCCTCTTTGGCCGTCTTGGGGTTCTTCCTGAGCCGACTTGGGGCCCTCTTGGGGTGCTCCAGGGCCCTCGTGGAGGCCGTCTTGGGCTCATTGGATGCCTCTTGGGCCAGCTTGGGGCCCTCTTTGGGCCGTCTTGGGGGCCACTTGGGCCGTTCTGGGGCCATCCTGGAGGCTTCCTGGTCGATCTTGGGGACCCTCCGGTGACGGGGGGGGGCGGGGGGTCGAACCCCCCCCCCTCCCTCCTCTGCGTCCCCCCTCCTTGGGCCCGCGCTTGTGTCGGCGGCGGCTGGCGACGGCGGCGGGGACGACGACTTCTATTTCTGGGCCGGCGCCGGCGCCTGCGGCGGCGGGCGGCGGTGGCGGGGAGCGTCGACGAGAACGACGGTGGTTTGTGGTGGTGGTGGTGGTGGTGGTGATGGTGGTGTGGTGGTTTGTGGTGAAGGTTGTGCTGCTGGTAGTGGTGGTGGTTGTGGCGGTGGTGGTGGTGGTGTGGTAGATTGTGTTGGCGGAGGTAGTGGTGGTGGGTGTTTGTGATGGTGGTAGTGGTGGTGATGGTGAGTTGTGGTGGTGGTTGTGGTGGTGGTGGTGGCTGTGGTGGTGGTGGTGGTTGTGTGGTGCTGTTGGTGGTGGTGGTGGTGGTGGTGGTGGTGGTGGTGGTGGCGGTGGTGGTGGTGGGTTGAGGCGGTGGTGGTGGTGGTACTGGTGGTGGTGGTGGTCGTGGTGGTAAGTGTCGCTGCGTCCCCGCCGGCGCCAGCGCTGGCGCTACTGGCCGCCGCCAGCGCCGCCGCCGGCACGATGGGGGGGCCCTGGCGCCAGGGGAGGGAGGGGGTTGAACCCCCCCCCTCCCCCTTCCCCCTGGGCTGCCTCTGGTCATCGTCGCAGCGTCCCCGCCGTGGGCGCTGCTGGCGGCCGCCAGCGCCGGCGCCGGCGCCGAGGGTGGGGGTGGGTGTTGAACCCCCCCGCCTTGGGAAGGGGGGTGAGGGGGTTCGGGAGGGGGGGGGGGTTGGGGGGGAGGAGAGTCCCCCTGGTTTTGATCGACGGCGCCGAGTGTTGGGGGGGGCCCGCCCCCCGGTTCGAAACGCGCCGCCGAATGTTCCCCAGGCAAGCGCCCGTGAAACGCGTTCTCTCAGAGGTCTCGACCCCGTAAACCAGCAGGGTAGATTTTCATCCCGGATAATTTGTTTTATTGTCTTGGGGCCCGAGTCGGCCTCCATGCAAGGAGCACGCCAGGATTTAAAACAATTGCCTTGGCTCCGTCCACTGCAACTGCGCATTATCTTATCATGCCGCCTGCTGTTCCTGGCCTGGGCCGCGTTGGCCAAGCCCGCGCCTCCGAGTCCCTCCCTCGGCTCATCGGCTGGTGTGGGGACCGCAGCAGGAAGGGAGGTGGAGGAACGGAGAGAAGGGTGGGAGAGGGGGAAGGCAGGAGAGAGGATTCAGGTCCCTCGACGCGTTTTGGTTTGCCACTAGGGATCTGGAGGACACCATTGGAAGTTCCTAGGGGTCCTCCAGGGACCTCCTGGGGAGCAGGAGGGCGGAGGAAAGAGATGCTGCTGCTACTGCTGCTGCTGATGATGATGCTGCTGATGATGATGATGATGGTGATGCTGATGCTGATGCTGATGCTGCTGCTGCTGATGAGGAAGATGATGATGATGATGATGATGATGATGATGATGATGATGATGGTGGTGATGATGATGATGATGATACTAAAGGTGGTGGTGGTGGTGGTGGTGCTGATGCCGATGCTGTGCTAATACCGTGCTGATCATGATGACTGTTGACAATGACCAAGGCGGTGATGATGACTACGATGATGGTAACGATGCTGACGACGATGGCGATGACGATGACGATGATGATGACGACGAAGATGATGATTATGACGATGATGTTGGTGATGATACTTATCCTAACGATGCGTGTGATGGTGGTGATGTTAATGTTGATGTTGATGATGAAACTGATGACGACGGTGACGACACGACGATGATGACGTTGACGATGATGCTGATGATGACGACGTTGACGATGGCGATGACGATGACGATGACGATGATGATGATCCTGATGATGATGACCATGATGACGATGATGATGCTGATGATGATGATGATGATGATGATGATGATGATGATGATAACGATGATGGTGCTGATGGTGCTGATGGTGCTGATGGTGATGTCGATGCTGATGCTGATGCCATGCTGATGATGATGACAATGGCAATACGATGCCGATTACGGTGATGATGATGATGATGATGATGATGATGATGATGATGATGATGGTGATGGTGATGGTGATGGTGATGGTGATGGTGATGGTGATGGTGATTGTGATGGTGATGGTGATGGTGATGGTGATTATGCTGATGATGATGATGATGATGATGATGATGATGGTGATGATGATGATGATGATGATGATGATGATGATGATGATGATGATGATGATGATGATGCTGATGGTGATGGTGATGGTGATGGTGATGGTGATGGTGGTGGAATGAACAGGATGGGAACCCCTCTCCGCCGCCCCCAGCTCCCTGGCTGCGGCGGGCAGGACCGCAAGATGCGGCTCAGCTTCCGGGCGCGCAGCGGCCGCGGCTGCCTGGCGTTCTACAACTCGACGCAGGCCGCGCCGCGCGGGGCGCGCGGCGGCAGCGAGCCGCCGTCTGACGCCGCCGCGCCACGGGAAGCGCTCTGAGCCAGGGTTGGGGCACTCGAGGCTCGAGGATCGACGTCATCCGCTTGTGAGGCAGATGTGGCTTGTGTCACAACGTAGTTGCTGACTTCACGATTACGTGGTGTACTGTGTAACAAAATATGCGATGAGCAGAGATGAACCACACTGGAGCTAGTGAAATCGTATGCGTCTTACCTATCGTCTACATGCTAGAGGCCGCGAAGAGAGATTCCCGAACTGTGCCTGCACCCAGGGGCTCTTATTTCACGCGTGAGAAATTTCTCACTAAGTTAATGGGTGGGTCCGCCGAGGATGCTCTGCGCTGGTGCCTCGTGCCCGCCCTGTGGGCGTTCCTGGGCCCCCCGTGCCCTGGGCGGGTCCACTGAGGTTTTGCCCGGTCGGCGCCTCGTGCCCGCCCGCGTGCGCCTCAGGGGGGCTCGTGGGTGCCCCGTGCCCAGGTGGGTCCAGGCCATAGCGCACACCTCATAGTTCACACCGCATGGCCTACACAACGCAGTTCAGCGCGCATAGCTCGGGGGCGGAAAAGAGGGGGGTGATGACTAGGGGGGGGTGGATATCATGGCGGGGGCCATGATATTTCCCCAGATTTCACGGCGCCTCTTCTTGTTTCATTACGTCCCTGGCCCCCCCGCTGGGCCGCGCACATGCCGCCGGTCATGATTTGCACCCCCCCCTCTTGGACACCCCCCTCTTGGCCGCTCCCGAATAGCTCACACGGGATAGTTTGCAGAGCATAGCTCAGACGCCGCACAGCTTGCACATAGTTTTCACGACATGGAACCAGATAGCTTACACAATATGGCCTACACAGCGTGGCTTGCACCACATGGCTTACCCCATATATCGAACTCCACGTATCTTACTTCGTATAGCTTCCAACACAGTGCAGCAATTCACTGTTCGGGGTCCATGCTGGAGAACATCCACAGTTTGGAGGTCGCGGAGAAATCAGGGCGCACGGCTTCTAGCAGTTGTTTGCCCAGTCTCTGGGGGCCTTGGCTGGTGGGTCCCGGCGGCCGTCAGAGGACAGCTCTTGGATGAAGAGTCGGTCCGGGGAGAGGGGTCGAGCAGAGCGCCAGATCTTGCAGGATCTTGCGCGGCCAGGCTTGCATGGACCCAGGCTTGCGTGCAGGATCTTGCAGGATCCTGCAGGATCTTTCAGGATTCTGCAAAGCCCGACCGGCCCAAGTTTGCATTGACCCAGGTCAGTAACTCCCCGAGACATTTCCATGGGTCCTCATGGAAACATGCCGGCGAGGGTGCGAAGTTAGTCGCCCTTCCTGGTCTGGGCGATTTCAGAGTGAGGCGCGAGTCCATCATCCTGTTCTGGGTGGGCGGCGAAAAGGGCGAAGATAATCGCGCTCCGCGGAGCGCGAAGCGCGAAGATCCTTGCCCTAGTGTCGGGGTTGTGGGTTCGGGCATCGAGGCCCAAGGCTTTTGAACGATTTCGCGCCTGCTTGGGAGGCTCCTTGTCGCCACGGCTGGACTGCTCTCGGAATTCTGTCCAGAACGCACCCACAGGACAGGTCGAGGGTTTTTGTTGCTCCATGGGCCCAGATCATTGTTTTTCACTTGGGCTCGTTTTGCACTTGCCATTTTCAGGGTCTGGAGTCAGGGGGCTGTTTTCAGACTCCTGGGCCATCTCAAAAATGGATGAAGGGACAAAAATCGTTCCCTGGGGCGGGAGTGGAGAGGTCTGGGGGCCACGCGTTGAAAACAAGACAGCCGTCGGAGATATGGGATGGCTCCTGCGCCGCCAGAATATCCAGTCTCTTGCTGCCGGGCGAGTCCCTAGTTTTGCCTGGGGTCGGGGGAGCGTAAGACCCGGGTTTGCCAGGACTCGGGTTCACCATCGTTTTTTGACGACTGCGACTCGGATTTTGACGAGTAGGAGTTTCGTGGGATGTCTGCAGCGGGAGGCCTCGTCAAAATGCAGGCTCGGCCTCGTCATTTTTTTGACGACCTCGTCGGGGGTTTCCGAGTCCCCTGTACCCGGGTCTTACGCCCCCCTGATGGGGGGGGGCCTGGGGAAGGGAGGGGGCCCGTGGGCTGCCCAGAGTGGAAGCCACGGACACCGCTCCCGCAATCTTGATGGACCTGGCGCGACCCGAAGTTAGGGGAAAGTTTCCCGTGGCATCGACGCGTCGCCTTATGGCGCAGCATTGCCTGGCACTGCCTGGCATTGCGTGGCATTTCGTGGCGTTGCTTGGCGTTGCGTGGCAGTGCTCGGCAGTGCTTGGCACTGCGTTGTGAGGCAGCCATGGATCGCGGAGCCGAGGAACCAAGACCAATGAATTCAGGAACACAGGCGAACGAGCCAAGACACCAACACCAGGGAACACCAAGGAACCAAGAAGCCAAGACCAAGGGAGAACGAATCAAAGAAGCAAGAAATCAGGGAACAAAGCAAGGAGTCAAGGAACCATGACCAAGGAACCAAGGCACGACGACCAGCGAATTCAGAAGCCAAGACCAAGGAACCAGGGAACCAAGGAACCAAGACAAAGGAACCACAGACCAAGGAACAAAGGAACCAAGACCCAGGGACCAAGGAACCAAGACCACGCAACCAAGGAGCCAAGGCCAAGGAACCACGACGCCAAGACCAAGGAACCAAGACCAACGAACCCTGGCAACGCCTTGCACGGAAACAAGACCAAGGACCCCCGGAGAATACTTTTTGTCAGGATACGACGAAGAAACCTCAGGGCAGGCCGACGCCAATTGGGTGGGGTCCGCAACCATCAGCTCAGTCTATAGGAGCTATCAAAAACCTCGGGGCAGAGCCTGATATATATATATATATATATATATATATATATATAAAGATATAATACATATATATATATATATATATATATATATTCATATAGAGTTATACATACGCATAACGGAGGACCACCGCCGGGGCCCCCTTGGTGCTTGAGCCTCGACTGGCGACGGGTGTGCCGCCCCTCCCCTGGGCCTCCAGGAGGCCTCAACGACGGCCCGAGAGGGCTCTCACAGAGTTCCCCAGGCAGCGCAGGAGAGCCCCCAGACAATCCAAGAGGGCCCCTAGTCGCCGAGTGATCGCTCCAAGACGCCCAAAGATGGCCCCAAGACGGCGCGAGAGACCTCCAAGACGCCCCCAAGCTGGCGACAAGAGCAGTCCAGTCCCAAGGGGGTCCCAAACGCTAAAACCACTGATCTTGATCAAGGTGCTTGGACGATGTTGGTGTTATCGCCTCTTCGGCTCCGCGATGCTCAAAGACATCCCAAGAGGTCCCCAAGGTTTGTCCAAAATGGTCCGCAGCCATTTTGGCTCAAGTGACAGTTGGTCTCGATCCTCTTGCAGCACCGCCACACGTGCTCGGCTCTGCTTTGCCAGGCAAGGCGACGCGATGGCCCTGACCTTCGTCGGCGCCGCCTCCCCCGCTTCGGCGGGCCTCCAGGGCAACCAGCGCGCGCCGATCACCGCGCCGCCGGCGCTGAGGGCCACCGCGGCGCAAAATGGCGCGGCCAGCGGCGGCAGCCTGGGCGCCGCTCTCCCGGTGGGCGCGGTGGCCGCGCTCGCGATCGCCGCGCGCCGGCCGGCGCGCGCGGCGCGGCGCGCCGCTGAGGCCGCCGAGGCGCCGCCGCCCTTCGACCCGTCGACGCAGCTGGGCGCCATGGCCCCCGTGGGCTTCTTCGACCCGGCCGGGTTCAGCAAGGTGGGCGACGAGGAGGGCTTCCGCAACCTGCGCACCGCGGAGCTCAAGCACGGGCGCGTGGCCATGATGGCGGCTCTGGGGTTCGTGGCGCAGCAGTACATCCAGTTCCCTGGCTTCGAGTCGGTGCCTGCCGGCGTGGGCGCGGTGACGACGGCGCCGGGCACGTACGGCTTCGTGGCGTTGTTTTTGTTTGCTGGCGCTATGGAGCTCGCGGTGTGGACGCAAGACCCGAAGAAGGAGGTGGGCAACTTCGGCGACCCCTTGGGCCTGTCCAACATCTTCGGCTACGACGAGGACATGCGCCACAAGGAGCTCAACAACGGCCGCTTCGCGATGTTTGCGGCCATCGGCATCCTGTCCGCGGAGCTGTTGACAGGCAAGGTGGGCATGAACCAGTTCTGAACTGAGTACAGCTGAGCCCAGTGGTGGGGTGTTGGTGAGCCTCCACAGCGAAGGGCAGTATTGTATCGCGTGCTTTTTTTCTCCGGCATGATCATCCCGGCAATTTTCGTCGCTGTGGCGAGATTTCTCGCCTTGCGCTCTCAATGCCATCACGTTCGGTGTGGAGGTGGCGCAGCATGGACAGCTCTTCCTCGGCGCTGACAGGCGTGCGGCGAACATTGTTCAGAGTGTAAGAAAAAGCACAAACAATAGTGGTCCAAAGCGGCCCAAGAGGCCTCCAAGAGAGCCCCAAAGCGGCCCACGCGGGCTCCAAGACAACCCAAGAGGCCTCCAAGACGGCCCCAAGAGGGGACCCAGGCGTGGGACCCCAACGGACATTCCGGCCCCTCGGCCCCAAGAGGCCCCCAGGACGCCCCAGGAAGCTCCCAAGAGGCTCCCAAGAGGCCCCAAGAGGCCCCCAAGACGACTCCAAGAGCATCCCCAAGAGGGCCCGAAGAGGCACAACTTATCTATTCATCGTTTGATCTTCAAGGATCTGTGCGTCACCGCCTCTTCGGCTACCCGACGGCCCAAGGCAGCGCAAGAGGCTTCCAAGGTCGGCCCGAGAGGCATCCGAGAGGCCCACAAGATGGTGCCAAGAGGGTGCCCAGACGGGGGACCCGAACGGACATCTCGACCCCTCGCTCCCAAGAGGCCCCTTTGGGCGCACCAGTAATCGCCCAAGAGGCACCAAGATGCCTCCCAGGAGGCCTCGAGAGGCTTCCAAGAGAGCACTCTCCTGATGGCCCCCGAGGGGCACAAGTCATCGATGGCCTTCCAGGCTTGGACACAGGATGT